TGGGCATTAATCAATTATTTTCTTACCAACATATCAGTAAGCATGGTATCAATAGAAGCCAGGTCACAGAAGTAGTTCTGCAGTAGGGCACGCAGCTCAGCGTTGAGATGCGCTGTCTTCTGCAAGGTGACCCTCGCCTGTGCCTGGTGGACCGCGGCGCCGGCCCAGCAGGCCACGCTCACTACTGTGTACACTACGTTCTGGAAGTGAAGTGAGCAGATATAGATTAGCTTATGTTAACCACTTTCACGTCTGCCGCATAGCAGTAGGATGGGTAGACGGGTTTAAGTAATGTTTAACCGCTTTTCAGGATTAGTAACTAAATCTCAAAACGTTTTCTGAATGATTTCAATGAACACAATTAAATACGATATGTCCATGTTGATAAAAGAAATTTAAAGCATAACATGTAGAAATAACATCTAACATCGTCATAAATCTTCGAGTTAGTCCTGTACAGCTCCAGCACAGCGTAGCAGTCTCCGTCTGGTTTGACGACCGGCATGCAGAGTGCCACCTTCGCATCTATCCATCGAAGACCGTCAGAAAATCGTCGGTCACGTTGCACATCTTCTAGAAGTAGGAACTCCTTGGTGTACGCGACGTGTGCGGCTACTGTTTTGCCTTCACCTGGAATTTATTGAAAAAATTTAGATCGGGCGGAAACTGGTATTAAATCCTTGCACAACGGTGGTCCCTGTTCTAATTGATTAGTTAGGTAATGGGCGGACATTGTGGTGGTGGGGGCATTCATTGAAAATGTAGGTCGGCAACACCAACAGCACACCGCTAAGCTTGATCTTCAGCTCTTCATGTCCAACTATTGCCATACTGCGGTTATCATTAGTATATGTGCAAGAAGGAATAGTAAGTATTAAAATATCAAATCAAGACTTACGTATGGTCATATTTATTTCATGTCGATCGGGATTCTCCGTGTCCGGGTGCATCAAGACTATCTCGTTCTTCAACTTGTCTACTATGTAAACAAAGACTCCTGGAAAAACGAATCAATGGAAGCTCATCATTGAAGAAAATCTCCGCATTAATTTACCTGGTACCTAATGGGACATACGAGTAGGTACTACGTGTAGGTAGGTACAGCAAATAGGTTTATAGGACTTGAATAAAACTAGTAGGTTAAAAAGTGGCAGTTACAATTTGACATGTGCTCATCTACACTTGCACTTAGATACGCTTTCGAAGGGTACCTACTTAGTTACATATTTCTGTAAGCAACATGCCTTTTACGCATCCAACCATTGCCAGTCGCACTCGTTACTGATATAGACACTCCATTTAGCTGGAGAGCATCATTATCATTATTATCAAGAGCTCACCTCTTACACAATTTCTATGGCGTGTTCAGCTACACAGTGTTCAATATTATGCCAGATACGTGTTTAAACTGTCAAACACCAAGCGGTCACCGGTGACCGCAACCTATTGTTCTGTGTCTATAATGACGGTACTTGACGAGTTAAACCCTTCAATCATATAAACATAACATAACATCACGCCTTTTATCTCTGAAGGAGTATGCAGAGGTGCATATAATGCCGGTATACAATGTAACACCTACTTTTCACTATTTATGTTATGAGTCCGATGTAATAAGGGGTGAGCCTATTGCCATATACCGGGCACAATTCCAGACTCCATGTTACTATTGAGAATATTTTAAAAACCCAGTAATACTTTGCTCGACCTGGGAATCGGACCCGAGACCCCTTGCCCGGCAGTCGCACTTGCGACCACTCGGCCAACGAGGCAGTCAATCATATAATATAAAGTAGGTACATGAAAAAAAAGTACAATCAGAAAATTGATAATGGCTACCAACCTGTACTATCAGTGACGGTCTTCAACACCATAGCGGTTTCGTAGAGAAGTGACTCCAGGTCCACCGTGTCCTCCAGGAACACGTTGAACCTGTTCATGTCCAAATATCTTCCAGCTTTGTCATCTTCCTCCTTTAGACCTACGTTTGTGAAGTGGTACAATTAGAAAACAAGGTTTAATTTTGTAACTGGCGTTGGTACTTATATAATGTGAGATATATGGCGAGATAGTAGTAAAACGTCGGCCAACTATATACGTATATAAAAAATGCCATACAGAGAAATGCGAACCCTTTTCACTCCAAGTAGAGCAGGCCCAGTCCAACACAGAAGCTGATACCTAGAGAGCGCCCAAAGCCTAAGTAGGAAGACCCAGTTTTGTTTGGAGTCGCCACTTTATAGTTACTTGTGCCTAGTTTGCTTAAGGGATAACACGGCTCTGGTCCAACAGTACGATGCTACGATTGTACGATTACCGTTGATTGATTAATTGATTCCTAATTAGGAGAGAGTGCTTTTATCTTGAAGTGATACCTACTTGTAGGTACACTAAATAGAGGGCCTTTTAGACTGTAGGTCATCAAGGCCCGAATAGGTTAATTGCTTATGGGCAGACGTGCTCCAATGTAGGTAGCATTATTGCTTACCACAAGGCAAGATAGTGACTAAACGTCGGCGGTCGGCCCATTAAATATACAGAAAGAAAATAAATCTACGTAGTCCTCGGTTTACACCAACTGTCAATGGTCCCATGTTGGATCTGGTGATCAAATAGTTGACCGAGCCTTACCTTTTCGTTCGATTTGTGCATAAGGAGCTATGACTCTCCTAGTCACCTTATCTAACTTCTCTGTAGGCACTAGAAAATGCGACTGTGTCTGGTTGATGGTGTCCATCCGATTCTTTGTAGACCTAACATGTTTCACCGGCTGCATGATTGTAAATTAAATTAACAATTAAAACTACGTAAGTACTAAAATGAATACGAAATTCCCTTTTTAAAGTAAGCTAAAATAAAAATTGTGTTATTGATTTTGTAACAGCTGTCAATTCTTATTTCGAAAATACTTTTTTATTTTTATGGCAGTTGTGCATAGTTAACTATTGCAATTATTATACCTTCTTGAACTTTTGTAACGCTACGGACTCACGACGCGATCTTAACCCGCGCTCGCGAAATGGAGATTTATTTTCAAAACTCACGAGATCGCAACTTTATTGGTCCCGCAGACGCCGCGGTTGCGATAATCGCAAATTTGACGGTTGATTTAAAAAGATAGTTTGAGCTAATTCACTGGAATTAACTCAATCTAAGTTTTTTAGCTCAATACCTTGTGGTTTGTAATATCCACAAGATGTTCCATATTAGATATGGGTATTTAAAATAAATAAAACAAAAAAATATATATTCAAAGTAATGTATTTCCGATTTCATTCATACAAAATAACTTAGCTACATACAGTAATATGTACAGTCAATACAAATAGCTACAAACATTGTAGACACACTTACAAACTTAAATTGACACTGAATCCTTTAAATATGAGATACAGACACCATAATGAGCAGTACTTAAATAAACAATAAGAAAAGAGGATATCTGAAGAAAACGTACAAATCCGACACAGAAATAGTTTACATTATCTTGTAAAACCAAAAATCTTTCACTGTGTAACGACAGATTAATATGAATGTAAGATAGAGGCAAATGATGTACATAAATGTCTTTTTTGATTAACAAGCCAGATAGGTAGCCAGTAGTCAAGGACCACATAAACATGTTGATTTACACAACTCAAAACTCCAATGTTCTTAAAAATTTTTCACACATACCTATTCTTTTATGTCTGAGTTTCCCAACATTTTTCTTAAATGGTTGGAAAACATTGATCTATTGCAAATTCCCCCTACAATCAAACCTCGACTAGTAACACAATCATTCTTTCACTTCGTTTGGCTGCGATAACACTAATATAATCTAATAAGACTAAACATAGATTGTTTTTGAAATAACCGTCATTGTATGGTAAAAAAAATAGTATGCATCACATAATTTTGAGACGCTTATGATTGCACGGCCATTTCAACGTAGGACAGTCAGGCTCTAGTGCGGCGCAATCACCTTTATTTTATACAAATGACAGTGGAAGCCTTCTAACTGAAGTCTAATCAATATACTGTTGCATAGCATATTCCTAACTTACAACTAATTTTATGTACTTATTGAATCCAATATTTTTTTTATAAAATTTTGATATAAATTCCTTATAAACAAATATAAGGTAAACGTCGCCACATATGGTAATATTTTAAGTTCAGATCTATACCTACATTATTGTAACATGCTGTATATTGTCAGAAAATTAAAATATTTAAAATATGTACCTAAACAATTTTGCACCAAAAGTGAATTTTCTACAAACCATAGGAATTTGTATAGTTAGTATAGTTGCCAATTGTCTTATTTTTTTTAATTTACTAGAATTACATATAAATCCTTAATTAAATTTTTACAATAAAGTATTGTTTTTTCTTTTTTGGTAACTTACAAACCAATTTGTATAGCATTTTCTTTATTTACCTTTAATAGTTTACAGTAAACATTATCTATATCATTATTTTATAAGATATAAAATATTATTTGCAACGGTGAAAAAATATAATGATTTTAAATCATTTTTTTTTAAGGGGGGAAAATCATCGAATGGCTGCTCCCGCTTAGGCGAGGCGGGAGGGAGTGTCAGACTCTTACTGACTAAAAACCACCCCGTTCCTTCTCCTGCACGTCGAGCCGGAGCCCCGGTTACCCGTTAGGTTCTCCGCGACATTTTAAATCATATTACGACAGCTTTATTATTATACCATAGATACAATTTGTGTACTTATAAAATGGTAACATTTACAATGACATGTATAAGATGAATAAAATGTATAAAACTTTTAAACTTGTCTTTATTCAACTTTTCTTAAGTATTTTGCATGATGCAAATTGTTAAGAAATGTGATCAAAATTAAAACAGAGGCAGTTCAAATTAGTTTTATGCAATGGAATAAAAATGTGGACACATTCCTCATGAGAAGAGTGCACGCTTAACCCGTTGAAATTGTTGAAAATCATCCCCTTTGTTTTTGTTTCCCCATTGTTCATACAAAAGTAGTCTTCTAAATATTGGAAATAAGGTCTATAATGTACTCAGTGGAGAGCGGTCACCGATGACTGCTTGGGGATATATGGATTAAGAGCTCTTACACACTAGCGGCATGTTACCAACAGCAGAAGTAACTGCAGCCATCAATGCGCTTTACAATTGATTGTAATTAACTTATTTATAAAATAGTATTTGTTATCTCTTGCATAAGTGATATGGTTTTTACAAGTTTTTCATTATTGTCATTGAGATGGTGAAAATAATGTAATACAGTACTGATGACAATCACAATGAATGTAAATAAAGTTTATATTCACATTTATGGATATGTTATCGGTTTCCTTTCTTTCTTTGATGGCGGACTGTCTGTTGTACTTGTCTGGAAGAATAGAAATAACATACACATTATAAAATTTTATACCATTTAACTCTGAGTACCGTCATTACAGACACAATTTAAGAACAATAGGTTGCGGTCACCGGTGTCCTCGCAGTGTTTAACAGTTTAAGTAACAAATATAGAAGTGTACAATTATTATTATATTATGTTGAGTGCAATTAGTTTTAGATGTGATAAGATTGAGTTCTTAAGTAATTTGATTTGTCAAGTCTTGAGGTATTCTACTATAGACATATTGACTTTTTGAGAAATAGATATTATGTAACTGAATGAACATTGAATGAGTGGGATTTAAAAAGACACAATTTTTATTACTTGTTCATACAATGTTTCATTATTGCAAACATATTAATGTCAAAACTACTTTATGTTCAACACTTTAATTTCAAGCAGTATAAGATAGAATTACTTACGGAATCAGCACATATTTTCCTTTTATTACAATTGAGGAAGCTTGTATTTGTTATGGGTGATATTGTAGTTTCAAGTCTAATCCTCTTTGTGTGACTAGAGTGGCAATCTGGTGGCGGTTTCAGTCTATCACAGCTTGGGTTACCTTTGTAAACCTTACTCTCTTGATTATTCATAATATTTAACTTTTTTACCGGCTCAGGACTCTGTTGGCGCGATTTGTTTAGTATTTTACCTCGACCAGAATCTCTGTATTTTCTTTGCCCGTGAGGCAAGCAATAGTGATGAAATATATCCAATAGTTCATCTCTTTGCAAAAGACCCATGTTTGGAACTCGTAAATGCCTCTGTAAATACAAAATAATAAAGATAAATCAAGGTTTATTTTTGTTTTGACACAATAACACTATGCAATTAACAGTATTTACTACCTCTTGGATAACTCTTATTAGCTGCTCATTACTTAAAAGCTCCGGGTGCAATAACATATCAAACGGCACCGACATTATTGAAACAAAACATTACTAAATGAGCAAAAAAATATAAAAATTATTTCAGAATTTCATGCCGCCTCTTACTGTTACAAGTTTCAACTGGTTTTAAACAATGACATTGACAATTTCCGTCGACTATTTTAACATTGACATTATTGACAGTCATATTGTAGGCGTTTACGAAGTCAACGACGAAGAATTAGAAATTATAAATAATTATTCTTTTAATTTTAATAATCAATTTATTTATTTATATGCCATTATTTTTTTCAATTTGTTTTCAGCTAGTCACTATTACAAATAATATATTAATGTTGATAAAGAAAAATAGCTAAGATTGTTGCAATACTGATGAACCATAAAGAAGAGCATACTGTACAAGCCATGTAGCATGCTTCATAAATACTAATAGTGAAGCCCGTAGCAACCACTACTTTGTTCAAAAGTTTTATTTTCTAAGGAACCCTTTACATATTTATTATTAAGACGGATATACTTATATATAATATTACTAATTAGGTATTTGTGCTAAAATAGTTTGTTAATGAATTTCCGTTAATGTAAGTTCTGATTATTTTAGGTTTGGTTGTTCATAAATAGTTTAGTTTGGTTTTTGATCTTTTCGCAGCCCTAGCCATCTGGATTACTCTATGGTTTCTGTCAATAATACACAGTGCTGCTTGTCATTTGTGTGCTTCGATTGTTTGCTTTACTGTTTCCTAACGTTTTATTTTGGACTCTGAAGGAATTTAATTCAAAATAAGTTATTCTAATTTTAGTGACTGATGTATTGTTAGTTAACTTTCTCTGTGCATTTGCGTCTATTAGTTTAGTTTATGTGTGCAGCGGTGCGATTATTATTTTGTATTTAAAGTAAATAATAACGCAACAATAAATTAATGTTTTTGAATAATAAGGACGACAAAACCCGGGTTTTAGTGTAACTTAACGACACTCAAATGCCAATTGCCGCTGGAATTTCGATGACAAATTCAGTCGGGGTGTGTGTGAAAGCGCGGTGGGACTATGTTGTTTCTCAGTGCCTTAGCGATCGGTATGATAGGTGGGCTGCAGAATGTGACGACGGAGGTGCCCGCTCCCAGCAGTGACGGCAACGACGGCAACGCGGTGACGAGCGTGGCGGAGCGGGCGGTGCGCGAGATGGGGCTGGTGGAGACGACCAAGTTGTCGGGCCAGTCGGGGGACCTGGTGAACGTGACGGTGCACGAGCGGCCCTCCATGTGGGACATGTACCTGAACCACTGCCCGAAGTGGCGGCCAGTGAACCATGTGTTTTTCCAAGTGGCCAATGTGTTCTTCCTGTTGTCGTTCCTGGCGCCGCACACGGCGAGCGGGCTGGTGTGGCTGCGCGTGGCGCTGATGCTGGGCTGCGCCTTCTCCGCCATGTGGGCGTGGAGCATCGAGTGCTACCTGGACGCTGTGCTCTGGAACAGTGCTTTCATTGTGATAAACTTCATTTACTTCTCCATACAGTTTTATTTGATGCGCCCCATCAAGTTCCACAAGGATATTGAGGAGGTAAATATAATTTATTTGTTTTGTCTTAATATATTATTATTTCCCTATTATCTGTGGTGATCTTATCTAAGGAAGAGTAATCACCAGACACTCTTAACTATAGTTTATAATGTAGCAGTAAAACTGAGTAACTCTAAGAATTAACATTTCAAAAACTTAAGTCGCACCTGTACATAAAAATTCTTAGAATTATAAGTCAATATTTTCATCTAGCTCACCAAATTAGTATTTTCAGCCATACAACCACAACTTACCATAGATAAATGTATTAATTTTTTTATAGAGATGTGATCAATAATTTTAGCAAGTTGGTGAGTCATAGGTCAATCATGTTTAACTCTCAAGGGCTTGAGGTCAACCAGTAACCTGTTTGTTTCTGTAAATATAAATTAGTTGTAACATGTTTTGATGACATCATACTGCAAACATGTGCAAAAAACTTCATAATAAAAATTTAAAATTGAGGATTAAGAAAATAGGGTCCAAATTTTTGTATTTTATTACATATTATAAATGAAGCCAATGATTTGAATATGGAATTAAAATTTTGGCATCCATATTGAATCAGTAACAGGCACATAAATGTAGGTATGCATAATTACTTTTGGCATAAATAGGGGTGACCATGATGTTTTATTTTAAACCAGGACATATTTATAAACATTTTTCTAGCTCTCTTTTTTATAAATACAATAGGTACTTATAAGATAATTATACCTAATGAAAGATTTTTACAAAAGACCTACCTAACACCTTGTTATCTAACATTACCATGAACATGACATTGCATTTCAATGTTATCAAGATAATATTTTAATAAAACAGCATTACCTAAGCAGTAAAACCTAATGGCTGTATTAGAACCATGCTAAATGAAAAACTGTTTTGGTTCTTGTTTTCAATTTTGTGTATTATTTCATGAGTTAAAAGTTCTGTGTTTTGGTATTGTTGAACATAGCTTATGATTTTCGACGTCGCCATAATACGTAAAGAAATAATAACTAGTTACAGCAACTATCGTAGTTACAGTCTATTATTTATGATGAAGGACTTATTGCCCTCTCTTTGAAGTCTGTCCTACAAAAGCTCATTAAGTGAAGGGCGAAAATCATGGCGCACAGTCCAGCTGTACAAAGTCATATAATTTCTAAAAATAAACACACTTCATCATTTCTGTGAACTGAGATTTTTATTTGCTTCACGCAAATAAGTCAGTTGTTAATTTATGTCGGGTTGTGTCAGCATACTCCATTTTAAATGCAAATTACATCAGCATCTATTCGAGAGTACTCGGTTCGTACAATTTGTCGATTTCCGAGCCTGATAATTTACTTATCATAACTACACGTCGAATCAATACGTGTTAATATGTCCGCAATTACTACGCGTCTGATCTCATTACGGATTTATTTACTCGAACAGACACGAACTGTGATACCTGATATAAAATAAAAGATTATCGTATAACAGTATAGGTACTATGTTTGGTATTTTATTGATAATATAATCCCTAGTTTCTGAAATATCAAATCACACTACCGGGTACATAATCGCCTTTATTACGCGAAACAGCGATAAAATTAATACGGTTCTTTATACTTATACCTTAAAATCATAAAACTGCGTTTAAATTACTACCTATGTTTCTTCTTTATGATTTTATCGTCATGATTAAAACACACGTGCAAAGTTAAGATACGTAGTTTTGAGGTTCCTATCTGTTAAAAGCTTATTATTTTACTATTACTAGGTATTTTATTTTATCAATTCGAGAATCTTCACAATCAAAGTCCACTAACATTCTGTTCTTTCTGGTAGGTATGAAATAAACACCAATAATTTTCATTATTCCATTTACGCCTACTTCATTTCAAATAACTTACAAGCCTACCATTTGAGTATCTATTTTTAAAACTAATAAATATAAGAACTTTACCCAAACCGTGAATCATATTGGTTTCGAAAGTCGATAGAGTAGTGAGTATGCGGTAGATTGCGGTCGACGCCCGTGGTTGAAAGCACAGGTTAAGAACAGTACTAAACTAAGTATATCACATTTCCTAAATACATACTGTACCTCATAAGTTATTACGACTTAAGTTACGTTGCATACGTTTTAAATGTCCTTTTAATGTCCTCATTAAAAAAATGCATGGCTACCCTAACTTGTGTGGAGAGGGTTGAAATTGCATTTGCCTGACTCGTAATTATTCGTAACTAAAGTATTTTCATGTATGGATCACGCACACATGTACGTGATGTCGATTGTCGATATCCGATCCGCCGGATGACACTAGTAAATAATTCTGCGATGTAAATGGTACACCTAAAATGTGTGAATAATTAATCAGAGCTATTCGACGCCAGTGACGCGTCGCTCAATGGTTTTGTCGACGGATATTAGGGCTTCACCCCAATGAATAGTTCAAGTAGCTGTTGTTTTTGCACTATAAACGCTAAAGCTTCTCATTTAAACACGTGTACAGGGACCCCACAATTATGCCTAGAGTCACATAACAAACATTTTTCCCCTAATACCATGTCTCCGCAAGTAATGATCGATTAACATAACTCGTACGGCAAAGGACTACAAAATCGATTGTAATCTAAAAGCCTTATTAATTTGGCAATTATTTATCTTGTAAATTGTTTGTTAAAAGCCGACTAGAAAGCCATTAGCGAGCAATGCGTTATTCACACAAAATTGTCCGCGTACTGATCAAATCGTTAATTATACTTTAAATAATGCAAACTATTTTCTAATGAAACTCGAAACTTGGTTGACATTTTCGTTACCTACATAGAGCCGGGGAAACGATAATGTAATAATAATTTTCAATATAGAATCAAGGCTCAGGGCTCAGCCTAATGAACGAGGAAGATTTACATTTAAAATGTCAGCTCACCGCATTTGGACGGGGGATTAATGGCTAGATTGCCAACAGTCCTTTCAGTGTGTTCCCAGAGGTCAGTGGGGCAAGACGGAGTGAATGGCCTTTCAGCTGGTGACGTCACCTCCTCACTTACCACCCATCGAGGGTTAAACGTACTTAAAGTTTCACATTTATGATGAAGCACACAACTTTGCAGTTCTTTGCTGTAAGATCGGCGGGATATCGGATTTCCTCTTTATAAACTTGTTGGAGCGCTTGAAAGGTCTCGATACGTTCTACGAAGAAAATACCAATATAAACATTCTTACAATACCTACATGTATCTTTGAAAATAAAGCTTTGGGTCTATGGCATAAGTTGTTATATCATGACTAGTTCGTGCAGGGCTCGGTTTTGGCAACTATTCAAAGCTCTTACGTAATAGCTTAAAACCGACCTGAACTGTCTACAAAAAATTCTATCTGGTCGGATTTTAATTAATATATGAGGTCTGATTCCTGCTCTGTATGCGAGGAGCGACGACACGTGTATCAGTAACGGTTATCCGCAATGTGTATCTAACTACGTATTGCGGGAAAGCGGCGTGATACGGCCGTACATGTGTTTAAAATTGTTTACTCGTCTGAATGGATACACAACCGAATATTCTGCCCGTTCTGTTTAAAATGTTCAATCGTTTACTGTGTAGTTTTAAAGTTAGGCCAACCCTAAAGAGTCAAAAACTAATAAATAACTAAGTTTAACGCAAGGAACTCATAGTTTGTTAGCCACCTACTTTCCCCGCTTGCGTAATACGGTTGCGTTGTTGTGTCTGAGTAAACAATTGGACGAACATGTTTAATTGCCTCTTCGCCGTGGTTACGTATAAGCTCATATACTAAAAATTCGGAGATGTCAGCCCAATATTCATTATAATCCTCCTGCTGTCACCGCCTTTGTGCTAACTGAAGAGCCTTTCGCATTAATGCCTGAGTGAGAACAGAATTTTGGAGCGTACCTAATGGAGTGACACAAAGCCTGTATTTAATTCCGTATTCATTCCGATATTGTAGTCGAAATATCGTCAAAACAAAAGATCGCAATAGACTAAAGAAATTGGAACATTCAGAGGTCGTTATCCTCATAATGCTTTCCTAATGATTCCGAGCAAAAATGTATTAGAAATTTCCATAATGAAGGTGTGTTGGTACAAATCACGCGACCGCTGCCGAGGTGTTTGGTAACCAAGTTATTGATTTTATGCAAAGGTGTGTTGCACCCTAAATGCGATGCCAATATTGCCTTCCACAGATGTGGTACCCTGTGCGCCCCTGATTGGTTTATTGAATCACTCGACTGTAATGTCACGGGGTTTCCAGAAAGCTTTTACTGAGAACCTAAACCTATAATAATGTTACCAATATTGAACACTGTACTACTCAGTACCAAATAAATTCAACCCCTGAAATGGGTATCAAACGCCCAAAACATTTTCTTTAATGAGCAAAGCAATCACTGAAAACTAAAATTTTCCTACTGAAGCCATTATTTTGAAGTCGATTGATATTGTAATGGTATCGACAGAATCATTATTATATTGAGTTCTTAATAATCTAGCTGTCAACATAAAAGGCCCTATTTTTGTTCTATTTTATCTGTATAATTTGTTCTTGTATGAACAACTTTTCCATTTATCTTTGCCGACTGATTTTTCTAGTAAAGAAATGTTTTTCCCATATAAAGCAATGCAACCGCGACGAATCTGCTGTCAAACTACGAAATTATTCAGCAGAAAGTCGCATTGGGAAGACTGCAAAATTGGATATGCTCGCAGCTGAGAAAGTACACATTTATATTATATTCACAAGTTTTGTTTGCAGATTGCAAAATCTTTTTGAATAACGATAACTATGTTTACTTGTGAAGTACCTACATCTGTCTTGTGTCTGTTTTAAATTCACTGTCGGCTTCGTTGGCGCCCGTATTGTTCTTGTATTTTTTGCTAGGGTCTTCTACCTGCTAATGTTGATAGCCAACCTGCTTCACAATGTCGATAATCTTGGAGTCAAGTGCGGTTACGGTTACGGCCCTTTCCTAAAAGGGACAGACACCACAAAAAGAGTTTTACCTGAGCACAATTGAATTGATTGCATCATTTAAAATACAGGTGTAACTGTCTCTGATACCGCAATTATCTGTTCCAATGTTCCCAACTCCCATAGAAGCACGGCACGGGGAAGTAAATAATTGCTTCTGAATTCAATAGAAAACGGCACATTGTTGGTTCACGGCTTTCCCAGTTGTCAATGGTTATTGTTCTTTAACCCTCAATGCCAACCTTTTTTGTCAATTCTAATTACTTAACAATGAAGTGCGGTTGCCAATCTTTTTAGTTCAATCTGAGTTGAACGGGAACACCTCACGATACTGCTTTTTCCGCAAATTATAAGTACTGTTGGAATTGTATAAAGTTCAACTTGAAATTATGTCCAATGTCTGAGAGTAGATTCTCGTACAACATAGGTAGCGAAAAGTACCTAGTAGGCGTGATGCTACATTATTTGTACAATTTCCCTCCTACTTTGTACTTTTATACTTAATCACCTGTCTTCCTTAATACCTTCAGCTGAGATAAAACGAAGTGATTGTAGTATTTATTCGTCAATTCGTAATGGATTACCAATAGGTACTACTCCAGCTGTTTCTCTGATTAGATAAGATTACAGGCATTAAATTTAAATCAGCTGATTTGCATTAGTCATTGGATTAAATTAGTTACTTGATTGTAAATTGTAATAAACAGTTGTAGATAACGTAGAAGCAGATATATACAGCAGTTTTATATCTATAAGAAAATATGGTGGCTAAGGTTAATAGGTATTACCTTGCTTTCCTTAAATTCAAGATTCTTAATTAGAAATGTCGTGTTTACTGTTTTGCACATAATTATGAATTCAAATGAAGGTATAATTACTGATTTACTTAGTCCTTACTTTCGTTATTTTAAAATCCTATAATCTACTATCTGTTTTTAGCAAATGTTGTAACACCTCAGATTCGGACTTGGGAGACAAAGAATACACCATTTTGATGTTACAATAAAATCTTAATAAAACTTAAGAGAAAGAGGTCAAGTAACATTATTCATTCACATCGCAAAGAAAATATTTATAGTCCTGTGATTTTCTTCAAAGTGTGCGCTCAAGTTAGTTGCAATGGCCTATTTAAATAGGGGTAACCTAAGCCCCTTGATTCAGCGCTGCTCTAATAATATCACGCTCCTTTACTGCAGTATCACGATAAAAGATTTATGCAAGCCCTTTAGATTTAGCGTTAGAAAATAATTAACAGTCATTAAGATAAAGTTTAAAATGAAGTTCCCTTGGAAGTGTGTCTTATTTAAACTTTGACTCACAGCTTGAACGCTTCCATCAAAACTAAACCTACAATGACATTTTTTAGATTGAATAGAAATATATATATATAACCTTTTTTACATTAGCAAATATAAATATCACAAAGACTTGAAACTTGGCAACGTCTTGTAAAATTGTGTTATTCAAGATAACTAGGTGTTCCAGGTGTAAATATCGGCGACGCCGATTGCTTGCCATCGGGTGATGTGATCCGTATGCTCGTTTACAGACTTATCCCATAAAAAAATATTATGGAATAGGAGGCAAACGAGCAGACGGATCACGTGATGGTAAGCGATCAGCGCCGCCCATGGACACCCGCAACACCAGAGGAGTCACAGGTGCGTTGCCGGCCTTTTAAATAGTTATAAAATAGTATAATTTGTTCCGGCAATTTTTCCTACATTTTACTCTTTATTATAAAGGGAACTTTTCGTAGTCATTTAGCATTGTCATAGTAAGTATCTATACTGAGTCTTTGAGAAAGGTCAGTAACAGGCTTTTTTTTTTTTTTAAGGGGGGAAAATCATCGAATGACTGCTCCCGCCTGGGTGAGGCGGGAGGGAGTGTCAGACTCTTACTGACTAAAAACCACCCTGTTCCTTCTCTTGCACGTCGAGCCGGAGCCCCGGTTACCCGTTAGTTTCTCCGCGACTCCGAATCGGCATCGGCCCTATTGGGCCCCATCTGTGGTGGTCTGATGGCTCTTTGAGGCGCGCGCGGAACGTGACGCGCCGTAGTAACAGGCTTAGGAACAAAGGATGCGGGTGGAACTATAAAAGAGGCAGTGACTAGCCATATACTTCGATATGATTCACACAAAAATACGTAGCATAGCAGCATATTAATGATATTTAACATATATATCTTCCTAAACCCTATTACATTAATTACGTCTCATATCGTAAATGTTTTAAAATTGTGTGAAACAGGTTTCTTTATCAAATTTTAAATGAGTAAGGTTCGAGTCAGCCTTGTCACCGCTGTGACTGAAGTCATTAGCTCGACCTTATTAAAGACGGAAATATACGTGGTATTAATGCGTACGCGCCTACCATTGTACGCAATTCCGCTGGAAACCCTGTGATTTGGTTGTCATTGATAACCTGTGTATTTATGGTACTCATTTTTTTTTTTTCGTGGGAGCGTCTTACACAACGTCTTAAGTATTGAAAAGCCTCAAGGTTGGATGATGTCTTTATTAGTATGGTCTCCAAAACCCTCCACTGCCATGCATCAGATCCATAAACCATAAAATATAACCCCTGAGAACCCCTGAAGTCGGTATCATTTCTTCTCTTCCAAGTGTCGCACAGTGAGCAGTCAGATATGAAAGGACTGTTTCACATTTCTAAAACATGGCCTCTTCAGAAATAAATATAATTTATCACATGACAGATCTACTTATGTTGTGAATGTTCTAGAATCGATTTATCTGAGGCTTCTCCCGTTGCTAAGTAACAAATTACGTCTCATTTTACCTTCAGTAAGAACTTCGCTTGACTTTTTTCGGTTAAATGTTGTTCCTAATTATGTTATCTCATAAATAAGAAAATATACATGTAAATTTATTTGTATCAGCGCAATTATTTGTTGAAAATATTCTTCCAAAAAGTTGTTTTGGCAAGTTACCATTTCTTTAAGAATTTTTTATAAAGTAAAAATGAAAGTTCTAGTAGAAGGTATTATTATACATTATTATTTAAATATCTCATAACTGTAGGCCTATTTCTCCTGAAGAGAGAAGGCTTTATCTATTAAAACAATTTAAATAAAACAATTTTTCCCTTTACTGAACACAAATGTAAACTCCATGATGCTACTGAGAAGGTCACAATTGCGAATCTCAAATTTGTTTTCGCACAACCGCAGCAAAATGCCCCTAAGTATCTTTATACCTCGTGAACCGTAAAGCGAACTAAGAAATAAGTTTCTGGTCCTACGGGGCGAATAAGTAACACAACACGTAAGTAAGGGCTTCGAAACGCCCGCTTAGTGGATTTATTTGGCCCAAATATTACCGCAAAAAATGTAGGAAATTTTCAACTACTTACCTTTTAACCGAAGCGGGGCTTAGGTCACGCTTATTCTTAAAAGGAGTGTTTATTCTCTGTTTAATTATAGCATACATTACAAACCTATGTTTCATGATAACATTTCTAAAGGTATTTCATGTAATTATGTGTCATGCTTTTAAGTAGTATAGTTTATGTTATTTGAAACTTATATGGTAACTGGTTCATGTACCTAGTTGTAATTGTTGTAACCGATATTTCTGTCACTCTATTAAGCATGTCTTGCTCAGGTAAAATTCTGTAAAGTGATGATTATGTCATCAGACCTGTGATCAACGTTTCGTGTCCTGATTTAATTCGTAGTTCCTAAGTTCCTAGCCTATTTCAGAAAAGTTGGGTGTAGTATTTCCTTATAGCCACCGAAAAAGAAAAATACAAGCGAGTTTTTTTGGCACACAAATTCATAAACTATGGAACCACAGGACATACGGTCGGGCTAATACTCCTGTTTGTCCCGTGTGTTTGCGTCCTCCGATCGCTTCCCTACACTGTTTACATTTAATTTGTATTCCGATACCGCCTGCTTACATCGATTAGGTGTCACGTTGCATATTAACTGCGAATATAACAGACTATCAGCGTTCCATTAAAGGACTTTTCCTGTTTCGGTTATCACAGTAATCTGAAATTTGCACGCGTGACCGCAATTGCCCCGGTCATACGCTATAATGATTCAGGCCATTTCTAACGGACTGAAATATCCATTTGAATGAATCGTGTTCATTAATAAAGACAAACATTAGTTATTTGCAGCTGCGAGCAATTCACAGATGAATAGAATTATCTTAATTACCTACATAAATATTGACGAACTTAACATGTAAAATTAGATTATCGTATAAACTTTGGCAGTTTGGTGATTTCGTGTTTATCAATATTTTGTTTAATCATACTTGTCAGCTGCGGTTAGCTTTATCGGCAATAGCTATCATTAATCACTCTGTATCTCAAGCTTGAATCTTTGAAAAAAATATAATATTGTGGAACTAATTAATGACGTCAAATATATAGTAACATCATTTGTGAGGCCTCAAACAAAACAAACGTGTTCTGAAATAAGTGCAGTGCTAATAATGATAAGTCTAAATAAATTCTTATTTAACATTACAGAGACAAGGCAAACATGTAAATTACAGTTCCTTTTCGTCATCTTTTCAAAACACATGTACATATTAAATAACATTGGCAGATAGGCGTCGACCAAAATTTCTGAGAAGTGAATTAATAATCAGCTTCTCCTGGAATACTATTTATAGCGTGCGAGCCAGCACGCCCACGCACCACACTAAATGTTCATTGTCCCATTACCATATTTGTGCACTAAAACAAAGATATCCTTTGTTAGTTAATCACTTCGTTGAGTATTTAATGCATCTTAAAGCGAGATGTACCTACAGACCAGACATCGGATATCGGTGGAATTTGAAAATTGCCTTCAGAACACTAAGCATGTGCTTGGTGAGTTTACGACTCAGAACGAGAATTACTCATGTTACTAACTGGGCCAGACTTTATAATAATAATAATAATAAAGCGTGGTTAAAGCGAGGCGAACTGTTCCCAGAAACAGAAGGATTCATGTTAGCGATCCAAGACCAAGTCATTGATACAAAAAATTACAGAAAATATATAATCCGTGACAGTGCCCTTGGCAGTGATCACTGTCGGCACTGCCACAGACAACCCGAAACCATTCAACACATAACAGGCGCATGTTCATCCATCACACAAACAGATTACAAACACC